TGTCACCAAAGAAACTGCTAGCTGGCTTCAGCATGCTTTTAACAAGCTTCAAGCTGTGCTGAAGCTTACTGAAGCCCAATAGCAGCTTATTTAAAAGTGACAACACGCCAATTAAAGAGGTAGCAAACTGCAACCATAAATTCAAAATGTTGGGCCCCCAATAGGTGTTTGCCATAATGCAAAAGTATGCACAACACATTATGGCAGACTTACCTTGTAGGCCATCCCCTCCGGCACTGCAATGTCAGTGCTCCCCTTCAAAGCTTTCATCCTCAGCACCTTCATTGCCTGGGCTGATAAAGTAACTCCATGCGCATGCACAGCAGTTCTCATCTCAGCACCGAGCCTTGCCAAGACTGTGCATGGAGCATGTGCTGCTCAGTGTACACAAACGCCGACAGGCAGAAGAAGCAATTATGACAGAAGAGAGACGCACAAGGGAATTCACAAAGACTGGTACTACATTGTAACAAGAACTGCCCAAGTTAACATCATGATACAGACACCTCTGTGAATTTGTCTGAAACCAACAGAACTGGTGCACCTAGTCAAGAATAAAATTCAAATAACTACTAGTAAAATAGTACTTTTACATCCTTGGTTGATCATTTCTATTGTCAAGAGAAATTCAATTCTACTAAAATGAAGAATATCAAACGTGTTTTTTTCATAACACGTTAGAAACAAATGAAGCATTAATAAAAGCCAACCTATACAGGTGAAACTCGAATAATTAGAATATCATGCAAATTTCATTTATTTCACTAATGCAACTTAAAAGGTGAAACTAATATATGAGATAGACTCATTACATGCAAAGCAAGATAATTCAAGCCGTGATTTGTCATAATTGTGATGATTATGGCTTACAGCTCATGAAAACCCCAAGAACCCCAAATCCACAACCTCAAAAAAGTAGAATATTACATGCAATCAATAAAACAAGGATTGTACATAGAACAATATCGGACCTCTGAAAAGTATAAGCATGCATATGTACTCAGTACTTGGTTTGGGCCCCTTTTGCAGCAATTACTGCCTCAATGCGGCGTGGCATGGAAGCTATCAGCCTGTGGCACTGCTGAGGTGTTATGGAAGACCAGGATGCTTCAATAGCGGCCTTCAGCTCTTTATTCTAATTATTCGAGTTTCACCTGTATGTATGTATGTATGTTTTAAAATGTTCAATATACACTTTTTAATTACTATATTAGGCCAGTGAGTGTGGGGGAACACCGGCTCTATGTTGGTCTGATCTTATTCCTCCCCACACAGCTACCTCCTCATGTATCACTTCTCTCTACCTTTTAGATTGCAAGCCCTCAGGGGCAGGGCCCTCCTTACCATCTTGTCTTAAATTGTATTGTGATTCTAATGTCTTCCTTATATTGTAAAGCACTGTGCAAACTGTTGGTGTTATATAAATCCTGTATAATAATAATCAGAATCCAGATCCCTAATAAGAAAAGTTACTGAATAGTTTTGTGAATCTGAAGCTGGGTATACGTGTATATATTTTCTTCATTCAATCTACAGGCTGAACAAAGAAAATAGAATAGAATCCTCCATCAATGCTTATGATCCCTGATCAAGGAATCCCCCACCGTTTCTATTGCAGTGTCAGAATACCCCAATGAGCTTGCAGCTGATTAGCTGTAAGATCCGTTCGGCCGAAAATTTTCCAACTGGGCCAGTTGAGTCAGGGATGCTGGACGTAAGGGTGCCGACAGAGGCACCCACTGTGTGAATTTCATCTGGCACCGAACAAAATTTGATAAGTGTGCACCCGGCTTGATTTTCTGCTGTCACTGATAATAAAAAACAGGCACTAATAAGAACAGAAGAACGTGAATTTGATTTGAGTGCTAATTTTGTTTCCTAGGGGACTCAAACAAAGCCGATATACTCCCCTGATCCTGGCTCCCGCAGAAGTCAGTGCTACCCTCTCTCTCCCCGAATGTTGGAACATCCCTCGGCATCCTCATGTCTAAAGGTGGCCACACACCTTACGATAATCGCATGCGATCGACTAATCGTACGACAATCGCAAGGTTGATGGGCAGTGTACAACCGCAAATACTGTACAATCGTATGACTTTTGTCTTTCAAGCATGTTTGAAAGCTTTGGTCGATTGTACGATTATTGCAATGTGAGTGGCGTTTCCGTACGTCAAAAATCGTACGATCTACACTGCTCATGTGCAAACGAAAATGCGTGCGGTTGATTACCGCAATTAGTCTATGTGCTTTTCTTTCACTACGCCTAATTGAACTTTGCGATAATCGGAGCATAATGGGGCCGTCGTACAACAGTTTGAGCAGACGAAATGTGTCGTCTGATAATCGTAAGGTGTATGGACACCTTTAGACAGATCGATGGCCCTGCCTAAGAGGTGATGTCAGTATTCCTTAGAACAAAAGGGGAAAAGAGACTGTGGGGACCGGTCTAGCAGCCAGGAGGAAGGCGGAGGGAGCAAGGAGCAGGTAAGTAAAACAGCTCTAATAGTATCTCCTAGGCATAAATGAGAACTTGAAAGAAATAAAGCCAAACTTTGGTTTTAGTTCTCCTTTGGATCACAGGAGTATATTTACCAATGTCCTCCTGTGACCCAAACCCAATAGTTGGCCATGGCCGCTATATGCCAACAGCCTAGAGCCGTGCTGCAGCCAGGAAAGATCCTAACACTATTGTTGGGATCCACCCCACTGTCTGATTGACAGCTGACTCTAGAGCCAGCTGTGCCCACCCCCTCCAATGAGCACTAAAGGAACAGAGAGAGGAATCCTTGCGAAGAGCGATAAATGACAGTCACTACTCTCTACAGGCCATGTTAGTAATCAAAATACAGAACCGACCGGCTATAACTATTGGGCAGAGTACATTTATTCTCAACAGTTCTCCTTTAACCCTTTCCGGTGCCGGAGTAGCCCCACTGCAAGGGTAAGATTTTTGCTTTTCCGTAGATGGGCTTTAAGTAATTAGGTGCACAGGTAACCTGTAGCTGAATATTGACAGATACCTGGTGTAAACGTTATCAGGAATTTCCCCCAGTCTCTTCTGCCATAAAAACCCAACTCGCCGGTGTTTTACAAAACAGTGGACTTTACATTCACCAACGGCGGTGTTTAACATTCCCAAGCACAGCTGAATGTCGCTTTAGGGGCCCATTCACACCACATCATCTCCAGACCAGACTGTTTCCAGACCCAAAATGCATCCTAATGTATACCTATGCTATGTCTGGCCTCTGTTCACACCAGCGCAGTCCGTTCCAGACCAGAAAAAAACTGCTCGTCTCATTTTGTCTGGTCTGAAATGCACTGCAACTGCGGGCAGGTTCACAACATTTTCCAGAACAGAAAATAGTGTGAACCTGCCCTAAAAGCTTCAAGAAAGCTCTGTAAAAGCTTTCTGTTCACACCGCTGAAGCCTGTGTGAACTAACGAGGCCTAAGAGAAGCCCAGAAGTAATTGTTTCACCTGAGAGTCTGAGGAGTGGGACTGAAGCCAAGTAGGCCGGAAATGTATGCCCCTGAAGTTCATACATACATTATATCTATATCTATATCTATCTATCTATAAAAAATTTACAAAAGAAAAATAAAGATTTAAATTGGCATTTTTATATATATATATACACACACATACATTTTATTAAAAAAAAATATTTATATATACATAAGAAATAATTTTTTAAACAATAATTGAATCCTTAACAGCAACCACAATAATAATGTGTGTTTCTTACACTTCTGGTAACATGGTCGTGTGCCTAAAGTCCAATAGGCCTGACAAAATCAGCAATATTGGTGCAATTTAGCCCAATCAATCCAGAACACAACATGACAACAAACCTCCAGTTGAACATGCTCATCAGATCAGCAGCAATATAAAACTAGTGTGTAAAGTTGTTCAACTATCGAAGCAGGGATAGACGTTGAGAATCAATACAAGGCTGTTGCGACCATTCATTTTCTTTGGCAAAGGCGAATGATGTATAAAACAATCAAGCGCAGGATTTAACAATGTTCAGGAGAGGACAGCCATGGAATCTTTACTCTGAGACAGTGGCAAGGTCACAAAAACACCCAAATCACAAGATGTTCCAGTCACAATCAATCCTTTGGATGTGTCAGAAATGTCTGATGTTGCTCAGAGACACATACACACACACACACACATACCTGAGGGCTGGAGGAGTGTGATGTTTGCAGGTCACAATGATCACAGCACAAGCATGTATCATACATAGACACGACAGAGGCATGTCTGCACACACGGGGGAGGGGGGCACACACAAACACAGCCAACAAAATTTGGTGCATCACTCCCCTCCCCGAATACCAAAACATAAACAGCAATGGGGAGCCTTGTCGGGGCACCGAGGCCTTGGCTCTCGTCACACCACAAAGCCAGCTCTGTGCCGGGCTCCTCTTACCTGAGGAAAGGGGTGCACAGTCCTGGAAGGAAGAGGGGAGCTCCGTGCAGACACTGGGCGAGCGAGAAAAAGCAAAGCTAGCAGACTGGGCGAGCGTCAGCCATGTTGTGTGTTGGTCCGGTATTTACAAACCTGCAGCAGCCAGCGATTCTGTCTCAGAGAAAGAGACGAGTGAAGGCGGCGGAGGGGGGGAGGGAAGGGGGCGGAAAGCAGTAGACAAAGGAAGCCGATGCCTGAGACACAGACTGCTGCCCCTGACCGGCTCTATCCCCCGCCTCCGCTACGGACACAGCTCCGGCCACTTCCACATGTCACCCGCTACACGCAGCCCCTGCCGGTGACATCACGCCGCCAGGATTCCGATGCCCAGGTTGGAACAATAGAAGATCCCCTCTTACGTCATAGAGGCGAAGGCAGGGTGACGTCACGCTGCGAGAGGGGAACGCAAGGGGGCGCCCGGGGAGAGCCGCGCAGGGAGAGTGCTGCAGGAGGCAGAGCTGCGATGGACTCAGAGTCTGTGAATGAGAACAAAGGGCTGAGTTTAGAGCGGCCAGTCTCTTACCTGGGACACGCCGCCTTTTCCCTCCACTTTGTCCAAAGCAGCCAGCTTTTCCCCCCGCCCTAGCTCTGTCACCAGGGCCGCTCCCGCCTCAGTCTCCTTTCCTCCAGTGAACTTCACAGCCCTCAGCTTGTACACTCCACTTCTCGTTTTTTCACTCTTCCCTCTCCACCCCCCCTCCCTCATTCACTCCGCTCCCTCCCTCCTTCACACACTGCCAGATTTGGAGCTCGTTGACGGCTAGCTAATCTGACTGTACTGCCAAGGAGCAGGCCTCGCCTTCCTGCCAAATAGTGATCCCTCCTGCACTCTTCGCCCCTCCACCCTCTCTTGGTGCAGGACTCGGCTGCCGCGCAGGCGCAGTAGAAGCCCGCTCTCCGCCGCGGTAGAACGCAGATGCGCATGTGCGGGATTTTCTCGTTTTGGTTCGGGTTGGTTGGGAAGGTTTCGCCGGTAACTTTTAGCAGCCTGCACTAAATTCAGCCCTAGGTTCCATGCATGGGAATTAAAATACATGCTTCCAGGTGCGTTTGGAGCTCTTTTATAAATGCATCTGGAAGCATGTAATGCTTTGCTATGGCTGCATGCTCCTCTGGACGTTTAGCATATTCTGCATTCTAGGACCGTTTAGTTTGGTTGGACATAGTTAAACACATGTAAACGCGGCTGGGCGAAGAAGTATCTAAACCTTAAAAGTTGTTTATTCTCCACAGATGTCTGTGTGCATGGGGCTTTAGGCCTCATTAAGGCTTCATTCACACTTGCCACATGTGTTTTGTCCTCTATATGCAGAGGAAAATCTGTCAGGCTACATGCTATAGCCATAGCAAAGTAGTTCATGCTTTTCCGTGCATTGAGAAATGAGCTCCAAACTCACCTGGACACATAGACGTAGCAGGGACATCTAAATGCAGGAAAAAGTAATCTGGGAAGCATAAAAGTTATTTACACTTTCCAGATACTTCTTGTGTGTTTACAAAAGCTAAGCGCAGGAGTTCCAGTGTGAATGAGGCCTTAGCTTGGTATTCTACAACCTGGTTCAGTGCAGGGCTTCCATTTCAGAAGGCTGTAGTACTAGAGACAAAAAAACAAAAAGGAGCGCCTCCATAGTGTAAAACTTTACGGTTCTGAGGAAGGGGGCGTGCCCCAGAAACCTGTAAACCGAGACCACACAGGGGCAGTGGACGCTGATGCTGCACATCTTTTCAGACTTACGCTGCTAGATGATTTGACATCCCATTGTTTTCTACATGCCTTTTTACTACCGACTTCTTGTAAGTACAATACAGTTGGGTGTTTTTATCATTAAAATTCGTTTTACACTATGGAGTCGCTCCTTTTTGTTTTTTGTCTCTCAGATTGAAGGTCCTTTGACCTGTGGGAGCTGCCTCTTCAGTGTGTTCGTTACCATTGCAACTGGCCGATATTGCACATGGAGGCGCCGGTATTGTTTCCTGTCGGCTGTAGTACTAGTCTGGTTACTGGTTTGCAGACTGCAAGCTTAGGAAATCAAACAAGCTGTGATTTTGAATACTTTTTCTTTTGTGGCTACAAACTAGGAATTTGAATATGGAAATACCTCAGAGAAACCCAATCCTTTCCCAGTGTTTACAGACATCGCTGCAAACCATTTCAGCTTGTAACAACTCACTGGTGCATAATCAATGGACAAACATTCTGCTCTAGTCTACGCCGTAAAGATGGTCGTACACGGCTTGAATGTCAAGGCATATTCCTCTTTTTCAAAAAATTAAATGTACCCATATCGCAAAAAGAAAAAAATTAGCATTTAATAATTTTTGGCATTTCAGGATGCAAAGCATTGTAACTGTGATCAGTGGATGCTCAGGCTCCTGCAGACTATTCCCCCAGCGCTTGGTCCGTACTATGGTACAGACCTTCTGGATCTGGAGGAAGTCATCAATGGGTATCCTCTCAGATGTTCCAAAAATAGTAGTAGTGTTCAACATGACATTCATCAAGATTTCAACATATTATATACCAAATTCGAGAAAGCAATTGAAGTGTTGATATAAAGAAATACTTGCTTCATCTTCTTAGGTCTCGTTCACACCTAGGCGTATTGCATATGTGCGTCTGTCGCGCGTTTTTTACCGTGATTCGCGGTAAAAAAAGTTGCGCGTTTCCGAAGGCTACTTGGCTGTATCCAAATGGAAACGCGCAACAAAACGGCCCAAAGTAGTACCTGTACCTTTTCAGGCGTGGGCCGTTTTGTAGCGCGTTAGGGACGGGCGGAAATACGCCAAGGTGGGAACGAGACCATTGAATACAATGGGATTTATATTTTTGAGCGTTTTGTAGAGCGTTCGTCGAGCGTAGAACGTGCTACAAAACGTTCAGGTGTGAACGAGGGCTAAAACAAAGTATTGAATAGGGCCAAGTTCAGCCACACAGCAGTAGCAGATATTTGTTTAAAAACATGAAATCCAGAGGAGGAAATGGGAGCAGGGTGGAGGGGAGAGTCTTGCCTTGCAGTGCCTGTGTTTCTGAGTGGAGACACACAGCTTACTAGCACACACAAGTGTGGCTCCATAGGACTATGCATAGGAGTCACTCTAAAACAGGAAGTCAGGACCAGTGCTCAGGGGACCAGCTGATTCTGCAGAAATCTTAAACTGCTGATCAAGAATCAGCTTCCATTGTAAATTATTTCACCAGATATGAAACAGCGTACAAACCTTTGAACTTTAATATGACTTTTAGCCCTCATTCACACTAGAAAAGGCCGACATGTACAGCTCTGTGCTGCGTGCACGGCCGTATCGCTCAGCTCCCGGGAAGGACAGGTGCTGCGTGTGATTAGTATGCAGCCCCCGTCCTTCTCTATGGGAGTACGCCGCCTTACGCTCACCCGCCCTGCACGTCCGTGCGGGTGTCTGTACTCGTATGCTGACAGGATGGATCCTGTCTGGGTCCGAGCCAGGAAACACGCAACCATACGGACCTGCACTTGGGGTGAGCGTAGGTCGGCGTACGGCAGCGTACTCTCATAGAGAAGTACAGGGGCTGCGTTCTAATCACACACAGCACCTGTCCTTCCCGGGAGCTGAGCGATACGGCCGTGCACGCAGCATGGAGCTAAAGCTAAAAAAGAGGACACCCATTAAAGTGCAACTGAAACCAAAACCTCTTTGTGGATAGAGTGGAGAGGGATTAGAACCCCTGTCAGGTTTATATTGCTGTCTGTGTATCTGTTAGGGAGAATCGCCCTCTCTATTTGTCCTGGTGATCATTATTAATGAAAGTGAAAGAAATTCCTAAATTTTGGGTTGTCAGAACAGGAATAGATGGCAAATCTTCCAATGGGGACAATAGATCTGTTGACCACCAGGGATTTCCCTCCCTTTGGGGAGATATCTTTTGTCTTCCTATTGTGGCTATTAGACAGGAAGTAAAGGGAAATCTCCCTAACAGGTCACAGATGGTGGAAAACAAAAAACTGTCAGGGATTATAACACTCCCTTACTCTATCCAAAACTAAAATAAAAAAAACGTTTTGGGTTCCGTTCTACTTTAAGTCAAAGATTTGTTTTCCAATCAACCTAAATTCCTATCTAGCCCTAAAAGTAGAACTCCAGCCAGGACTATTTTACAAATTTTATGGAGCCTAGAAAAAGGTTACACTCTCTGTCAGTTTTTAATGCTGCCTGTGTTCCCCTTTAAGCAATTCCCATCAAATCCTGTTCCAGGGACAAGATAAAGTGAAAGGAAATCCCACCTTTGACACATGTCATCATGAGAGATTACCCCTTCATTCCAATTCTAGTGATATCTCTAAAATGTTTGATTTCACTTCACTGTCTGTCCTAGGGGCAACACTGACAGAAAGTGAGATTTAATCACATCATTGGGGGCACAGACAGCAAAAAAACACTTGACAGGCTAAATACTATTGTAGACCAGATTAGATAGCAGAAAACTGACCTGACAGTCATTTACTGCAAGCTTATCTGGATCTGCAAATCGAAACTACTAAGCCAGACAACTAACATTTTCACAAGGAGGGCAGCAGTAACAGCCCCTGTGTTTTCCTTACTTTAAAGTGACATTAAAGGATACTTTTTCCCCCTCCCCCAATGTTAATTAAAGCACTTACCTTAAATGATGTCTCCTAATCCGATCTGCCTCTTCTTTCCTGTCCTTTTCAGCCTTCTCTCCAGCGGTGCGGCGGCTCTCCGATCCTCTGACTCCTCTGTCCTTGCTGGCACTTCCTGTCCCACGGCGTCTGCATGCGGGTGCACGCGTCCATAGACTTAACTTGTGTCTCTCCTCGTCTCCCGGCCGAAAATCTGAACTGCGCATGCGCCCGCCCAAGAAGCTTTGCGGCCGCCGGAGCAGTTTCGGATTCTCGGACGGGAGCGCGCGGCAAAGACGGGGTAAGTTTAAACCGCTGTTAAAGCGTTTAAAAAAATATATTTTTTGCATATATCTACTGCTTGCTGATTGTGTAACTTCAGTTCTCTGCTGCTACTGGAGATATATTTTGTCCTGGTTCAATTCATATAAGAAGCTGAATTCCTGACGTTACTATTCCTTCAAATAATAGGTGGTTGCTTGAAGTGATATTGCCGGACAGGAATGTGCCAAAATCAGATCAACTGATACAAAGTCACCAGCACTCCAGACATGTGATTGCATTAATTGTGAAGAGCAATGTCACAGACATATTTACCACTATACATATCTGTGACGCTGACCTATCCCACAGTAGATTTGTGAGAAGCATTTACATGTCTGGAGCGCTGGGTACTTTGTATCCCTTGATATTTTGTCCTGGTTCTTCACTTCTATTCATTCCACATTCATTTTTAAGTATACTATTAGTTTATGGCGTTGTTGAAGCATGTTTGGCTCCTTGTTCTAGCACTTAAATGTGTTATGAGGTTAGGTTCTGTTTACTTTTATTAGCCTCATCTTTGCTCCATTATGCCTTCTACTAACCGTTAAGTATACTTTATTGACTGCAACAGGAATGTGCGGTCTGGGGAGGCAGAGGAAGCAGTGCCTCACTTGCCATTATGGAAGTCTGAAGCTGACAGCTTTTTTTCCATTTAGACTGGCTGTTAACAGGTTAGACAGTGGTAAAAGCCTGCCCTCTGTAACCTGTCATGGACGGAGCGCTGCCTGTTAATTTCAGGTGGAGAAAATTACCGGCTTTTGATAGCTGCTGTGTGTAATCTAACACAATGAGGTCAGAGCTACAATGAAGTCAGAGGCTTAAGCTCTGTGGATGGATTGGACCAATGGCAAAGCGCCACTGGTCCAAGCCATCCAATCAAAAAAAAGAAAAACTGATGGCATCCATCTAGATGCCTCATTATTGACGAGCAAGTGAGGGTCAGGGAGACTCCTCCCTGTCTCCTCCCACACC